ATGGAAACTTACCTCTCATAATGCAATAGAACATTATGGTGGTCCCTGCAATTGCTTTTGTAATTATGTTACCCATTATTTTGTGATGTTACCATCTGTTTGGTAAAGAAGACAGAAATGTGTCCTTTCCTACCACCCTTTTCATTTAAACAGAGAAAGGTGCCACAGCCTAACTTAAGGTACATAGGTTTAGTAGACAGGAACTAATCTGATCTACAGCTAACTTGGGAAAAAGGAACCATCCACTTGCACCCCTGTCCTTGTCTTCTGGTGCTCATAAAACCCGTTATCCTTTCTTTAATTATTGCAGGGTAATAGGAAGATACACCATTTCTAACAAGCACATCTGTGTACTTTCACATGTCATTTGTCTATTCCTGCTGGCAATGTGAATATACACATCTTTTCTTTGAGAGGCTGCATTTCTCCTTGAGTAACAATATGTTGGTTTAGAGCTAATGTTGAATTTTGGCGACAGTAACAAATATGACTGTTTTTGCTGAATGTGCCCTAAGCATAGCAGGAGTCTCAAGAACTCACTGCAACTACTGTAACTGAAGTCTGCAGGAGCAGAACAAGTTACTTTCGTTGCTTAAAGTCAGTGAACTTGAATTTACCGTGAGCCTTCAAGAAATGATGGTCTCATTTTTTGTGAGTGCTTCTCTTCAGGGGTCTTCCTGACCCTCAACATAGCAGCCTCTTTCGCACCCAAGTCCACTTGGGAGGCAGGTGGTGTCCTGAGGTTGGTTGGTTTTTGCTTCATGTTTTTTCAAGGGCAGCTGTGTTTTTTGGAGGGAGAATATTAATCAGCAATCCTGCTATGCCACTTCACTTACAAGCTTGCAGTCCAGCCAGGGTTCAGCTGTCCCAGATCTCACAAGCACAGGTATGTTATGGAGTGGCACTGAGGGATTTTGTGCATTGGTAGCCTTATTCTAGCAGGAGCGTGATTCCTGACATAGGATATTTCTGCCACCAGTACATGGATAATGTTTCCTGTGCTTCTGAACCTCATGGCATTCAGGTGCTCTTCCCTAACTGTAGTCTTACAGCTCGCTCTAGTAGGCTCTGACATACCACTTATCCTCAGAATACATATGCAGTAATTTATCCTTCCTCAATAAATTGAATTACAGGAGAGGCTTCTGTAACTACTAATTTTGGCATTCTCAGTGCAGAGCCATTCAGCCCACAGCTGATCATTGAACAGCTTCTGTGGAGTCACTAGAATTCAAAGCTGAAGAACCTTTACAGTGTCCACAAAATAGTCCTACTTTTCTGTAGTTTAACACTGACCTTGGCTCAAGTGGCAGACTGGACGCTTTTGTCTGAGCACTTGAGATTTGGAGTTTTATACTACTTAGTCCATAAATTTGCATTTCAGTTCAGGGATGGGGGTGTTTGTTTAGAGCAGATTTGAGACAAACAGTGACAGAGAAGGTTTAAGGCCGTTTCTCTAACCCATCCTTCAGGCCCCTTAGGTCTCTCATTGGCAGCTGAACCTCTGTGGCTTTCCAGGACCCGGGAAGAGAACCTGTAAGCTGGGATATCTACCACTTTTCTACCTCATGTCAGCCGAGGTAAGACACCCTGCTAAAACACACACAAGCGGAGCAAAAATGTAAACCTTTATTTTATTTCTTTTTTTTTTCAAAAAACCCCGACAGACCATCCCACTCTTTTCTAAGACCAGTCCCCACCCCCACAGTGGATTTGGCTAACTTTTTGGCTAAAGAAGGTTAAATAGAAATACAAAACACGCTATCAGAAAGCTTTAAGTACAGTGTAAAAAGATGTCCTCAGCTGATGGAGCCGACCCGTATCTTCCTCAAATAAATAGGTAAAATCAGTTACTACCGGATAAAGTGCAACAGTGGCAGAGCAGCAGAGGTGAGGTAGCGCGCTGTGTGGCTGCTCCCCGCCCGAGCAGCGCACCCCGGGACGGGGTTTGGCGGGTTGGGCTGCGGGTTAACCCTCTGCCCAGGCCGGGCCGCGTCCCACCGGGGCGGCGCTCAGAGGGCGCGGAAGGCGCTGAGCGCGTTCTCCTCCCACTCCGAGCCCGACTCCGAGTAGCCGCTGGTGTCCTCGGCGTCCGACACGGGCGAGTACTGCCCGCAGAAGGCGCGGGCCGGCGCGAAGGGGCCGGCGGCGCTCCCCGCGAACGGGGCGGGCTCAGCCCGGCCGGGCTGGCCGGGCGGGAAGCCCTCGAAGCCGGGACAGGGAGGGAAGGCGGCGGCCGGAGGCCACTCGTAGGGGGCCGAGCCGTCCTCCGCCCGGGCCGCCCCGGGGAGGGCGCGAAGGGGCCGCTCCGGGGCGCGCAGGGCGGCGAAGCGGGGCGGCCGCGGGCAGGGCGGCGGCGCGGCGGGGCCGGGGCGGGGCGGTCCCCGCTGGCGGCGGGACTTGGCGCGGCGGTTCTGGAACCACACCTGGGGAGAAAGGGCGGCGGTGAGGGCGGTGGGGCGGCCCCGGCGCGGCAGGCGCGGCGCGGCCGACGCCCCTCACCTGGATGCGGGACTCGGGGATCTGGGTGGCGTCCGCCAGCTTCTCCCTCAGATAGATGTCCGGGTACATGGTGTCCTGGAAAACCAGCTCCAGCGTCTCCAGCTGCGCCGCCGTGAAGCTCGTCCGCTTCCGACGCTGCGAGGCCGCCGGCGCCCCCTCCGACGGCTCGGCCGAGGGAAGCGCCCTGAGGGCGGACGAGGCAGGGCCAGGGCCGGGCCCGCCGCCCCCCGCCCACCTGCCCGCGGGGAAGGCGGGCGGCTCCGCCGGGGACCCCCCGAAGCGCAGCGCGGCCATGGCAGCGGCGAGCAGGGGTCCGGACCGTGCCCCGCGCTTTATAGCCGGGGAGGGGGGCTCGGCGGGGGCGGGGGTTTGAGGGGGCGGCACTGCCCCGCGGGGAAGGTGAGCACTGGGGCCCCACCGGGCTGGGGGCCGGGGGGTGTCCGGCTGGGGCGGCCCCCTGCCTCGCTCAGCCCAGAGGACTCGGCGGTGGCCGGGCACCGCAGCCCTAGGCCTGCCCGACGGGGTGGGTGATGGCCGGCAGCCCTCGGCTCCCTGCACAGAATATGGACAGCAGAAGGGAGAGGGAGCTTTACAGCTGTCCTTTGTGGGCAAAACAACTTGGTGTTGGGAGGCTGGCACCCCGCATAGGACTGTCCCCCAGCTGGGTTATTTCTGATAAAACATCTGGGCTGATAGGGTTATGGAGTTCGCTCCCTCTATCTACTGGTATGGAGGTAGATGTCCTCCAGCAGCTGTCTGCTTTGGCAAGTGATGAATCTTGCATGGTGTGAGACGTAAAGCAAACAGAAGTTATCTCTTCTCGTGGCTGCGGCTGCTCTGCTTGCAGTGCTTTGCTGCCAGCTGTGCACCGGTGTATGGCCTCCTGCTGTGCCTGCTGCTGCAAAAACATCTCTTTCTTTTTAAGATGCAAGTTAAATGCACCTGGAAAGCCAGACGAGGCAGAGGCAGACGAGGGTGTCATCGTCTTTCCCACCCACTTGCTAATGCCTGTGTACTCCTGCTCATCACAGAGTTGTGCCATGACTGTTTCCCAGCCCACACACTCTGACCAACAGCAAGGCACTTAAAAAATGGTTTGCCTTCATTTTACTCTACGCAACTGTCTCCTAAAAAAGTGACTTTATAAGGAAAATTGTGGTTTGATTGTTAAAACCCTTTTTTGGAAGTTTTATTCCTAAAGCTCTTGTACATTTGTGCTTTTGTACATGCAGCAATCCAGGTGCTTTCATTACAGAAGTTTCTAGGTTATTCCCAAAATCATGGCCTTTAGTCTACAGACAGCAGTCAGAAACATGAGACTTGTACAGTGTTCTCAGTTAGCAGAGTAATGAGAGGGCATAGTGGTGAGAAAGGACACGGTGAGTGGTGATCCAGAAAGCAAAGACAGCATTATTTTACATTTTTATTAAAGAAGGGTTAAATTACTCTGCAGACTCTATGCAGATTTAGAGGATGCTATAGGTGGCACCAAAAGGGAAATTACTTCGTAATGCATTTACATGATGAATATTTTATCCTATTTTACATCTAATTGTATTTGCTGAAAAACATAGCAGAAGTTTCTTTTCTGAGTCATGAAGAATAGAGATGTGACATCCTTTAGGTTTCTGAAGGATTTAATCTTGTTTTGCCCTTATAGGAACATTGACTTTAGTTTCAAGGATTTGGTTAAGGTTGATTAAGTTTGCCAGACAAAGAAAACAGGTTTTTGAGGAAACGTGTGTTTTCACACACATACATATGTTTTTTCTTTCAGGAACAGCCCAGGCTTAAGGAGCTGCTGGCACCACAGGCACCCCACTGTTTACCCCCATCCTGATGTCTTCCTTTTAGCTGAGCATGTGTCTAAGCTGTGTGTCAGTCCACACAGTGCAATCAAGGAATTAATCCAAGTTAAATTAACTGTACAGTAATGGCAGTTGTGGGGGGTTTTTTAATCCAGAACTGGGATTCCCACCTGTGGGTTACCAGCAGCCCCTGGGACAGCTGTGCAAGTGAGGGCACACTGCCAGATACAGCAAGAGAGAAATGAGGGGATCCCATCTGGGGTGCTTCTAGGACTGCCACCACATGGATCTAATACTGAGCTAGAAGAGAACAAAACTGAGACAGACTATCCAGGAGTGTCATGGTTTTCAGTGTCAGACTTCCCATTAAGACGACTATCAATGTATATTGAATACATACTGAGGAAAGAGTACTGGGAGCTAACAGACCTGTTCCCAACTCATAAATCTGGAAATGGGCTGACTCTTTGATTTCTGACTGCTGTGACATCCTTCAGGCCAAAAGCCTTCTCAGTTCCCTTGCTGTTTATGGTTTCAGAGTTGTTCGAATGGCTGTCTTGTGACAGCAGCTGATGTGCTTCCCCTGATGAGGAAATAAATGGTGAGGTTTCCCAGGCCTGAAAGCTTTCATTAGGAGATACAGATGTAACATTTGTGACTATTAAAAAAAGTCTACTTTGTTACAGCAGGAGAAAGGTAACTTTTACACAGTAAATTTTGTTGCAATGTATGTTGTACATGAGCGCAGGGTAACCGCTGGCTCTGCAGTGTGGAATAGGAAGTCTGTGTGACCAAATTGTGGGCAAAGCAGTCAGTGCCTTTCATGTAGCCCAGGTTTACACACACAGGCTCCAGGACATGGGGTTCATGCTCAGGCTCTGCATTACCTGTCTGCAGACAATTGCATTTTCTAGCGGATGTACCTGTGAGGGCTAAGGCTGCTGTGAGCAGGTCAGGCTGCACTGCTTGGCTGCACAGCTTTGGTGCTGACCTCTGTTTACTTCTAGCCTGCCTCAGTTTCCCTTTCTGGGCTAATACCAGCATGATGATATATCTTGGTGACGAGTCCTTATTTGCTTACCAGTGGTATGTGCGGGATGCAAAGCAGAGCAATTCTGGGTCCATAGCCCAGGAATCGTATTTTCTCTTTCCTTTTGCTCACACTAATTTCCTCCATGGGATCCTGGTGGCCCCCCTTCTGTACTGGCTTGGTTTAAAAGGGATCTCAGATTGAATAAAGGCAAAGGTGCTCTGATTGTAAAGGAGTGTGCTGTTAGGTGGAGATCAGAGTAGGAGGTTTTTGCCTTCTTCTAGACAAGCAGGATGGCAGAAAGACATCTGCTTTCTTCTTTCTGCCAATTCTCTCCCTCCCCACAATGGCACACTTCACAGCTCCTACAGTGTCATCCCACTGATGTCCTAAAAGCCATGCCTGTGGAGTACTGTAGTGTGCCTCCCGCAGCAAGGAAAATGCCCTGTGTCTGGATTCAGTGGAGTTTCCTTTCCCTAACAAGTAGTTTTGCATCCTGCTGTGCCCCTGGTAGTCTGACAAGGAAGTTTCCAACGTCTTGTAGGTGCCAATATCTGCATGGAGTCATACCTAGGCAAGGGCTGGAAGCATTTAGGAAGACATTCAGAATTTCCTCACTTCCTATTCTGCATACTTGCTTTTATTTGCATCCTGTCTAGATACAAAGGGGGATTTTACTTCTTACCCCCAGATGCAGAAGGTATGATATAAGTCCAGAAGTGGCTTGCTTTTTGAAATTAGGATGGCTAAAACTGAGAGAGCTATCTCTGAGGCAAGAGCAAACTGCCTTGTGTTGCTATGATCCTGCCTTACATGACTTGAGGAACTGGAGCTTAGGAAGCATTCCAGAATGTATGGCAAGAGTATGCAGTAGTGTGACATCCAGTTGTGACTTTGCTGACAAAACAAACACACCCCTTTAGGTAACTAACACACATGAGCAGTTCTGCAGCTCAGTCCCAGAGGGGATGGGACATGATGGGTTTTATCATGCAGTGGTTTGTAACTGCTAGTGCAGCCTTTGATGTGTTCAAACTCTTCTAGCTTTTCTCATCACCTTGGTCCTTCTAGGACTCTTCAGGGACACAGCTCTTGCATGGTATTTTGTCATCCCAGCAAGACTTATTGGTTTTTTTTTTCTTTTTGGTGGCTGTCTTTAACATGAATCCTCTGGTCTCTAAACCTGAGATTGAAGTTTTCAGTAGTGCAAAGTCAGCAGTATCTTGTCAACCTGACTAAACTTGCAAAGGCTTGGTATCTCGGGGATCTCAATTTCTACATCTACAGAGGAACAGGCCAACAGGCTCAAATCTTATCACATAATCACAGAACGGTTTGGGTTGGAAGGAACCCTAAAGATCATCTAGTTCCAACACTTCCAGGGATGGGACATCCACAGCTTCTCTGGGCAACCTCTGCCAGTGTCTCACCACCTTTACAGTAAAGAATTTCTTCCTAATATCCAGTCTAAATCTGCCCTCTTTCCACTTAGAGCCATCCCCCTTGTCCTGTCACTACATGCCCTTGTAAAAAGTTCTTCTCCCTATATTAGAAGACTGACCAAAATAAAAGGAACAGTGGTCACACAAACCTGATTTCATTAACTTAGAGAAAGTTTAAGAAAGAACAAAATTACACTTTTGCTGTTAAGACGTAGCTCAAGTTTAAGCTGTATTGAAGAAGCAATCCCTGGATAATTATCTCACAAATAAAATTCAGTGTAGACCAGAGACATTTGTATGGTTGCACATATAACTGTATTTGCCTCAGAGCTTCTGCTGGCATGAAAATGCCATATAATTTTCAGCTTCTTTAGCAGGGTCCTGATAGTAGAAATTGTTAATGCATGTTACACTTAGGTTTTGAGGTTTTTTCATTATGCCTAAGAGGAAATCTTTGGATGAATACTTAATTTCCCTTTGATGGCTTCTAGTCATTCTGACAAAGCTCTTTACAGCCTCCAAACGCTTTTAGAGGTTTATCAGGTCTTCCCAATGTACAGACACCAAGATCTATATATTGAGGCTTTTAGGTAGAGTTCTGAGATCTCACAGTGATGTCATGTTTTTAATTTACAGTTGTCATTTTTCTATCCCTCGTGGCTGTAACAAGGAAGAGCTTGAGCAGGTGGGCTGTTTATAGTCCTTGCTCTGACATGGTTTGCAGATGGCTTGAGACGTATTCTTGAGAGACCTGAGCTGCCTGTCCATTGTGGATGTTCAGCTGTGCCCCTGAGAGCCCTTCCTTGCCAGAGCCCTCTACAGAGAAGAGGAGTTTTGCCTTTCTGGTCAGCCCAGGAAGTGTATTCGCCTCCACCTGAGAGACAATGAGGTGGATACAGCCAGCATCTTGCTTCAAGGCCAGAAGTGTGACTTGGCCACACTCCAGGTGTCCCCAGACTGTCCCAGTTGACAGTGGGTGCTTGGATGTGGCTGAGAAGTGAAAGGGAGAGCAGT